CAAGACACACAATAATAAGAAATAGCCATTTTCACCCCTCTCTCAAGATTGAGTTGAGTTTTTTACACCACTAATTAATAAATTAACTTTTTCACTCTTATATATAGAGAACAAATTATGCAATTAAATATGCGACAGGCAGATGAAAATAATGAATAAATTGAGAAAGAAATTATGCGATTAACTATGCAACAGACATGAGAAGATAATGGACAAATTACGAAACAAATTATGCGATTAATTACGCGACAAACAGGCGAAAATAATCGATAAAATGAGAAATAGTTATACTATATAATATGCGACAGCAGACGGATAATTGATAAAGTGAGAAATATTTATGTGATAACTATACGACAAATAGACAAAGATAATCGATAAAGTGCGTAGCAAATAATGCGTTAAACTATGGGAGACAAAGGCGAAGATAATCGAGCAAGTGTGATCTCATTATGAGATAAACTATGCGACAGACAAACGAAGATAATTGATAAAGTGCGAAACAATTACGTGATAAAGCATGTGATAGACAGACGAAGATAATTGATAAAGTGCGAAACAATTATGCGATAGACAGACGAAGAAAATTGATAAATTGTGAAATATTTATGCGATAAATTATGAGGCAAACATGCAAAGATAATTGATAAAGTGTGAAACAAATTATGCGACAGACAGATAATGTTAATTGGATAAATTGTAAAATATGTATGCGATAAATTACGAGACAAACAAGAAAAGACAACTGATAAAGTAAACAAATTATGCGACAGACAAGCAGATAATTGATAAAGTGCCAATTAATTATGCGATAAACTATGTGAAAGACAAGCGAAAATAATTAATAAAATGTGAAATATTTATACAATAAACAATGCCACAGACATGAGATGATAATTGATAAAGTACAAAACATACAATACGATAAACTATGTGTTATACCCGAGTTAGAAAATGGAGAATCTCAGTTAGGTGCTCTCGCAGAAAATGGGATCACGGGTCAGGTTCCCATAGCTAACATAATTACATGTTGCTTATATTTATATTATATAGAAAATCTAAAATATCCAAATAGTGACAATTAACAATATACTTTAGTATAAACAAAAATGCATATTTAAATATATATATATATATATATATATATATATATATATATATATAACTTGAGTTATCTGAATAGTTAACTAATAGTACTTTTATATAAAAAATTATTAACTGAAGTTCTATAGAATATTTAAAAATATCAATAAACAAATTGATTCAACCAGTTCAACTTTTGATTTGAACCATTGAACTTGTAGCTTTATTTCAATGGGCTATCCGGTTTTGAGAACAATGAATATTTATACAAACTAGTAAAGTATACGTGCGATGCACGTGGTGTCGAAAGTTTTTGACCGATTAAGTTTAGTAAGATAAATTAATTAATTTATTAAAACATATGATTGCAGGAATTAGAACAAATAAACTCCTAATGTATTTTTTAGATAATATAATGATGTTGTAACATAAAAATATTTAAATAACATTTACAACTCCAACAAAAATATATGAAAATGAGTCCCTAATAAAAAAACACTAAGTAACTAAATAAGGACCTAATGTAATTATAAATGGATGCATGAAGTCTTTTATTTATTTTTGTTATTTAAGTGTGATTTTTTGTATCATTTTGGTTTTGACGTTCTCATAATAAACGTTCATACTCGTTGTTGTCCAATACATCAATAGTATTGCAAAATTTATCTTAATTAATTTGGCAAAACGTCTGCTTTAAATATAGTTAAATTTCATGATTATATGACCATTATAAGGTATTTCTATTAACAGTTCATAAATATATCTGTGAAATAAATGTTATTAGAACTCTTTATATCTATTTTAATTATTGTATAAACTACTACGTTACGCTCTCTCTCCGTATAAACAATTTGGTACCTACCCCATGGAAGTTTACTTTCCAAAATCATGTACTTCTCTTGAGATGCTAAATTATTTTTTGAAATCATCACACATTACACAATTGAGATTGTAAATATTCTTATAAAAATGTGACAACTTATTCAAACATTCAAAAAAATGTTACTCTTCAATGTTATTTATTTGGAAGATGGACGAACTACATAATCTATTTTTTGCAAATCATTAAGCATTTTAGTTGTTGCAATGATTTTATAGTTGTGTATCATAATACCTTTTACATTTGTTCGGAGTTGCTATGTTTATGTGTTTAATAACATATTTAATGCATTTATTGTCCAACTTTTTTACATCATACATAATGCTTCAGTAATTCAAGATAAAGATCCTTTCTTGAGTCTTCAACAATAGCAAAATAAAACAATAAGATAATATTGAGAAGTATATCATTTGTCAAAATATTTCAGATGAGAAGAATTTAAATTCTATTATATTATGATACTCTTAGTCATCCGTGAACTTTATTATTATGAAGTCACTATTAAAATTTATGGTTTATATTATGATCATATAGAATCATTATTTATGAGAACCAATGTCTTACAGTGAAGATATATTTAAATTCTAGCAACAAAAAAAAAAAAAATTAGTAATTTTAAAAGATTTTTGTTTCTTGATATTGGTATTCATACTTCTATAAGAAAATTCAAACATTTTCTTTAATTTTTTTCTTATTTTATTCATATATAATATTTTATTTGTTGAAAGAATTAGAGCACAGTTATGTGCATTGCGTTGTTTTTACGTGTTTGATAGTAATATATTTGATAAAAATGTACTTTTATATTGTTTATAAGATTAAAAAATTTTGGATTTTTTCTATTGTTCGATAAAATATCAAGTAACTAACTTATTTTCATATTCACAACGAATATATTTTACAACTATTATGGTGTTCCATTTCAAGTAGTAATTGAATAATAGTTTAACATACAACTCATTTATTTTTTCTTTTAATTCACATAGTTAATGTTGGTAATAATTGTACGTTTACATTCATTTATAAATGTGCATCGTAATTAACCAATTCAAGTGTGAACGCAACGCTGTATGTTCAGTACCAACCAACCAATTCAAGCAGGACGAGGTACTGAACATACAGCGTCGCGTTCACACTAGGGACGGTACCGTAATTATACAGCGTTACGTTCACACTAGAATTGATTAATTACGGTACCGTCCCTAGTGTGAACGCGCGGCTATATGTTCAGTTCAAGTGTGAACGCGCCGCTGTATGTTCAGTACCGTTAAGTATGTTTTACATTTATCATTCGTCAACTCCAATTGATATAGGACATAAAGTAAGGTTATTTTAGGAAAAACATATTTTTACAGATTCATTGACACTTTTATAATAATAATAGTAATAGATAGATAGATAGATAGATAGATAATATAGATAAATAGATAAATATAGATGAGCACCAATCTATATCTATATCTATATATATATAAAGAGGTTGTTGGAAAAATACATTAATAGAAAGTTTGACATAATAAATAAAACAATTGACTTACTATAAATGAAAAGTTTGAAAAAATACATGTGAATCTTTAGTAACAAAATCTGAATCCTATTTTTTTGGTAACTAATTTGGAGATTCTTATGGCAAAATTTGAATCCCATTTTTTTCGCATCATATTTTATTTTTTTACTAAAATTTAAATCATATATTTTGGTAACAAATTTGGAGATTCTTATGCAAAAAATGTGTCAATTATTTATAAAAACAATTCTAAATACAAATTAACTTAAAAACCGTACAAATTGGATACGAATTTAGGAAACAAATAGTTGTATAATTCTTAACCAATTCTTCCAATATTATTGAATAATTTTTTCTTTAAAAAAAGTGTGTAAATTGGATAAAACCACGTGCAATTTTTATTTTAGAATAAAACTGATATTTGGACGGGATGTACATTCAAAATTGTGTCCACATTTTTTGTAACAAAAGCGATTCATCTTTGATATTTAAAGTCACCTTATCCAATTATTTAGAAAAAATTGTGTGCAACTTTTCAAAATTTAAATGCATCGATTTTTTTGGATTCTTATGTTTTTTCTTAACCATGTTTTACCTAGATTTTGGTAAGTTCATATTTTTATTTTTTTTTTGCTAAGTTCATATCATTTTCTTTACGAAAGAGACAGTTGCATAAACATTAACAAATTGTTTCAATTTTTTATTAAAATTATTTTCAATTTAATTTGTTTGGTAAAAAAATCAGTGCAGTGTTAGGAAAATTCGGTTGCATCTTTAAGAAAAATTGATGATTCTTTATTTGGTTTAAAAAAATATTCGGATCAATTTGTTTGATAAAAAATCAGTTTATTGGTAGGAAAATCGACTTCATTTTCAGGAGTAAATAATGATTCTTTTTAATATATATAAAAAGATTGTTGGAAAAATACTTAAATAGAATGTTTGACGTATTAATTAATTTGTTTGACTTACTAATTTAGGGAAATTTGTTAAAAAGCACGTGCAATTTGAGTAAAAAAATGAGATTTTAAAAGCAATATTCGAATCAATTTCTTAACAAAAAACCCAGGAAGATGATGTTGAATTGTGGATGAGGATAATGTCAATTGATTCTTTCCGAATTGAAAGGTCACATGTGAAATATATACACCAATGATATCTAATTTATTAGTTACTTAGGGAGCATGATTGTAGGAGATCAAAATATATCAATGTAAATGTAATATCAAGCCATATAAAACAAGTTTCGTTATAAGTAATTTAAACATTCTTGGTAAGTTTTAAATTATTATATATAATAAATCCTTTGTTTTTTTATATATTAATAGATATTACCTCCTTTTTTTTTAAAATGTCATTTTGACTTTATTAACAATTAACCAAATAAATGACGTTTTGGATCTTTTGTACATATTTTTTCATTATTACCCCAATCTAGCTAATAAATACACTGCATCTTTTCATATTCATTCTTCATCTTTTCTCAAAACATCCATCTCTATCCTCATTAATGAGGGTTATTATTTACAAAAAAATTCTTAATTACTGTGTAACTTTTCAAAACGATACTTATTAAAAAAAGGAGGGAGTACTATATATGTACTTATAGATGTATATATCTATATATATATATATATCTTTATCTATATATATATATATATATTGAAAGAGGTTGATTAAAAAATCATTTATAGAAACTTGATAAAAAAATTGAGTCAAAACCTTTGACTTAGTTCTTTTGAAAATTCAATCTAATACTATAAAATAACAATAGGGATTTACTTTAAGTTGAAAAAAAGTTCTCGCCTAAAATTTTAGATTTTACTACAATTGATAACTTTTTTTTAAATTCTTTGAAAAATTGGGAATTGATTTGTAATTTGAATTTTAGCGCCAACATTGGATGTGGCCGAGTCTATCAATGAGTACATGACATCATTGAATTTGTTGGATGGTCGTATGTACTTGAGTTCTGACAGTACATGCAAATCGAATTCTAATAATGATTTTTTGTCTAATCTCCATACGCCTGAGGTTTTGAATAGTATCAAGTGTTCCGGAATACCGAACCATGAGTTGTATTTGAAAATTGAAACTCCGGTCATGTTGTTGCGGAACATGGATCATTCTATGGGTTTGTGTAATGGGACACGATTAGTTGTGACAAAGTTATCCAGTCATGTTCTTGAGTGTAAGATACTCACAGGAGATCATACTGGTGATAAGGTGTTGATTGCAGGAATAGCCATATTTCAAGTTACAACAGCGACAGTTTCCCATTATGATTATTGCGCCATGACTATAAACAAGAGTCAAAGACAATCCTTATCTCATGTTTGCTTATTTCTTAAGAAACTAGTGTTCAGTCATGATCAGTTATATGTTGTTGTCTCACATGTCACTAACCGAAAATGTTTGAAAATCTTAATTTGTGATGAAGATGACATGTCAAAGAATCAAACCAATAATGTTGTATATAGGGAAGTGTTCAATAATATGTGATCTTTTCAGTTTCATTATATGTCTATATGTCTATTCTTATGATCATGATCATTGCATTATTACATAATTTATATACAAAAGTGCATTCTAAAAAGTGTATAGATAATAATTTTCCCATGCACGGGTGATTACTAGTAGTTCAAAGAATAATAGCATGCGGGAGTTGCTTTCTCGCAAACATTCTGGCTGCTACCATCCCAGCAGCTAATGCAGCCCCGAATATTGTGTGCAACCGCACGCAGTAATATTTCGCCATGAAAATCTTCATCTTGTCCTATACAATTCGGGAAAAAAAAAATATGTATATGTAAAAAAATATAAATGTGCAACCAGAATGTAACATTAAGAAAAAAAAAACAAATAAATTTTTGCATAAGTTGCATCACAATATGGTTTTATACTCGTGTACCTTGTGGTTTGTCCCAACAAAGCCAACCACTAAATTTCCAACTGGTAATGTTAAAGCACACAGAACCTGTGCAGCAGAAAGAGAAATGGACACTAATAAAGGTTTGCATTGTAATGTAGCCTTATTAGAGATGTTTTTCTAAGTGGCTTACTATAGATTGGAAAGGAAGAATTTGGGCAAGCCCGAGAACACATAGAAGCGAATAAAGTGTCCGTACGGCCACTTTCACTACATTTGCACCTCCTTCAGTTCCAAGCTTGACCTGGACATAAATATAAATTCAGTTCAGTAAGTTTTCACAAGTAATTCTGCCATTTATTTTTTTAAAAAAATTAATCTGAAGTGAATGCACTCACCAAAGGTGAAATTTTCCCAACCGCCTTGTCATCCTCTATCTAAAACAATTCATCACTCCAGTCAGCAACAAATGATAATTTTTTAATATATTTCTTTAGTTACCCCTATATTGAATAGGAGAAAAGTAGTACCTGATGAAAATGGCTACAGAATAGGATTAAGGATGTTGTGAAGCCAACAAGAATTGATGAAGAGATTACAGTTGCAGAGATTGACAGCTCACTATCATATTATATTCACAGAACAAAAATTAGTAAGCAATATGTATATCTCATATCAGAATCAGGTTAAGTACAAAAGCAAACGCTCAAAACCTTGTCCCACTTTGAAGCAAGTAAAAGGCAGTGGTCGCAAATGGACCGAATGCCGCAAAGCACAAAGGTTCTCCAAGTCCCGAGTAACTCAACCGAAAAGGTGGACACTACAAAATAAACATAAATCATAACATCAAAGGTGGAATTAAAATTTAAAAATCCTTATTTTGGATCCAAAAATAAACTTTGCAACTATGCCTTTGCTATGAGAAGTTATTATGTTGCCGGTAATAATCCTACTCTCTTCTTCAGTTGCAATTTTTTCACAGAACAAGTAAAAAAGAAATATAACATTCGAGTACTGGCAAAGTTACTTAATACATTAACCAATAGCAATCTTTAACATTTACAGATGTAACACGTGAGGCATGAATTACATTATTCAGACATTAAGTACATCAAACTTACCTGGTAAATATAGCCACAAAATATGGCACAGGCAAGTAGAATTATAGAACGTATACTTCCAGCCTCAATAGACACCCGAGTAAGGCCCACGAAACCAAGTGCAAGTAGTACCCAAGCTAAAATATGAGTTCCTGTTTGGCTTCAAAGAACAATATAGGAAATCATTGGTCCAATTTTGTTATTTGCGCAAGTTTTTTTTTTTAGGTGTTTATGGAAAAATACATAACATGTGTTTCATTATGGATCAGGGGAAGGGACGAAAGAATTGTTATTTTGTTAAGGACTATTAACTCACCTGCTAATTAGATTAACAACTGATTCTTTCTTGTTTTTATCCGCGCCAGTTTCGAAATCATATACATCATTGCTGCACACAAGAAAATACAAATCAAAATCTACAAATTAATGATGTCCTTCAAGATGAAACACCATATTTTATTTAATTTATTTTGAAAACTGAGATACGAAAACTTATTAAGAAAAGTTGACGGTATAATCTGACACAGAAGATTTTCAAATGCTTTTCTGCTTTGCTCCAGACTTTGGGTCTAGGAATTATATATAAAACTTGTACAGTTAGTTTTAAGTAGCAAAAAACTGGATGCTATTTTGCTTCACCTAATTTTTTTGTAAGGGATAAATGTAAAATTCATCACTTATATGCACATTTTGGTCAAGAAAATCCTAAACTAATTTACTGTTGTCATTTTAACTATTATTTATATATATTATGGAAAAAAAATTTACTAATCTTACTACACCTTAGACTACCCACACACACTCACCTACACACCAACTACCACTCACCACACCACTAAACACAATTAACTCTTTTTCTTTATTTTATTTAATGTCTTTATTCTCTTTTTCTAATCCACACACATTTTTTCAAGGCAACTCTCAATTCTCGTTCATTTATTACTCTTACTTCCACATTTTTTTCCAAAATTCTAGTTAATTTATTATTCCCATTTCCACCTTTTTTTAGGAAAAGAATGTGGGTTCATCAAGAAATTCCTTAATTCACTCACCTATTAGCGATTAAATTGACGCTTACGATCAACATAGCTGCATCAATGTTGCAAGGACTCTAGCCATTGATGTGATTTTCGAGAATTGTCTGAAAAAATTGGGAAGTAAATAATGTGGAAAATATTAAAATAAGACTTGTTTAAAGAAATTAAAACAAAACAAAAATTATATAAATAAACATTTGAGAGTTGGGTCTTTTTTTTTCCTCTTTTATATTTTCCAAAACTATTTGTTCTTTAGATTGCCTTACAAGGTAAAAGGGAAAGGAGAGGAGCAAATGTGGGAGTCCATCATGGAATGTCAGATGGGACGACGATGACCGAGTGCCTACCAAGCCATTCCCCAAAGGTATCAAAATATTTTCAATAGTGTCCCCAAAATTTGAGACCCAAATGTCTCAAATTATCAAAGTAAAAACTGCATGTGAGATGGCCAAAAAAGTTGGCAGAATAGAGTAATGCGATTAGACCACCAGCCATGGCCACTAGTGAACTAGACCTGTTATGATATAGCCATGAACCTTATTGTGGAGATAGTAACCAATAAAAATACCCCCAACCATCATAGTCATATAGATGGAGCTACTTTGCACAAAGAAGCCACAAACTCCTTGCTCAGGAGTTGTGCCTACTTTGCACAAAAAAGCCCACAAACTCCTTGCTCAGGAGTTGTGTCTGTCAATTAGTACCTCCCTGTCTTTCTCTATGGCATCTAGAGCCCTAGATCATCAAAGTGCACATTTAGTTCATACGAAATACATTTTTCGAAATGCATTTATAGTGCATATAAATTATAATGCAAGTACCGTATATGATGTAATTTTTAGTTTCATGCAGAAAATTACACCGTTTACCTTCAAAACTCATTTTATTTTCATACTTACAAACTTTTTATTTTAACTACAAATATACTAACTTCTTAGTTTATGTATGTTGATTTTTGTTAATTTTTTACATTGATTTTAAATTGCATTATTTGATAGTTAATATCAAGTTTATAAATGGTTTAGGTATGGTTTTATTTTGAATGTCATATTTTTGCAATTTTTTTTTAAGAAAATTGTATTAAATATGTAAATAGTCCATGTCATATGGTGTCTATCATTTACATAGGCACTATTATATATTTGAGGTTTTTAAAAATATTTTTTGTTCAAAAATAGAAAATAACAAAAATTAAACTAGCATTGCACATAATTAAAAATAACATTCTCACATTTTTTAAACTGAGACTTGATTCTTATTTGAACCACTCATATATATCACGACTCACAGTGTAACAAAGTTATTTCTTAGGTTAGTATTTTTAGTGTAATTTCTTAAAATATATGTGGGGTATATATATTAAAATTATGATTTTACTAATATTTCTATAAGATAATTAAGGTTCATTTGTTAATTTCAAATGAGTAGTTATAGTAAAAATTAAATTTTATTTTATATTAATAGAATACTCATTGTTTTTATTTTTTATATATATGAGATGAGTGTAGAATAAAAGTTAATAAAAAATTAGTATGATGACATATAAGTGAGAAGTCGATAAATATTAATAAAGTTATTGGTTTTTATAAATAAAAGGAAAGTACAATTCATTAATGTTTTTATATATAGCCATAAAGCATATATTGTTTAAAATTTTAATATTAGTCACACGATTTTCGAATCAGTAGTTTATGTTTTGACGAATATGTATGACAAATTAGTATACAACTAGTCTATTTATAAAATGATGATGTGGTAGATTTTGATTGGATAGAATAGTATAAATTTTCGATAAATACTATCTCAAACCATTCTAACTTCTATCTCCTCAAAGCCTTCTCTCTTTAAAAANTTAAAAAAAAAAAAGAAAAAAAAAACAAAGCACTCTGAGTTTGACACAGTTGAGCACTAACAGCTGCACCTTACTAGGCTCTAGATGTATAGAGAAAGCACCTTACTAGGGCTCTAGATGTATAGAGAAAGAGAGGGTGTAAGCGCACCATAAGCAGGGAAAGCCCAGATGAAGCCCAACTGGGTTCCATCCCAAAACCAATTGGTTGAAGGAGGAGTAGCCCATTAGACTTATAAATTAGGCCTATTTTTCCTATATAAACGATGTGGAACAACTCACAAGTGAATATTCTAATATAGGGAGGTACTAATTGTGAAGCAGACACAAATTCAGACACAAACTCCTACACAAACTCAGACACAAACTCCTGGTTTGTGCAAAGTAGCTCCGTTGTGAGTCCTGAGCAAGTACCAGGTTTGCACCTTAATAGGGCTCTAGATGTCATAGAGAAAGAGAGGGAGGTACTAATGGTTAAGCAGACACCAAGTACCAGGAATTTGTGGGCTTCTATGTGTAAAGTAGCTTCGTCTATGTGAGGCAAGTATCAAGAGTTTGTGGGCTACTTTGTGCACACTAGCTCCGTCTGTGTGACTGGCTGGTGGTCTTTTTATTGGCTACTATCTCCACAATAAGTTCATGGCTATATCTCCACAATTAATACACCAACTAAAGTTATCGGCCTACACGAGTGGCCCAAGGCTTGACATGGTCCATACAAATCGTTTTGATTTATAACCGTTGTAGATGGATCAATTGATATGCACCGAATCGCAGGTGACTGATTGCCCATCCATCCAACGACCCATTTTACCATAGACGGCCAGATTTAATGCCCTTTTTATATTTCACATTAGACCCCAATGACAATAATTAATCTCAACCAAATAAACTATAAAATAATATCAAAAACTCTAAATTAAATTCCACAGACCAAATTAATTATTAGTCTATTATTATTATTATTATTATTATTATTATTATTATTATTATTATTATTATTATTATTATTATNA